TTGTTATTTCGGAGCATAAGATAGCCATGTGGGCGGCCGGGTGTGGGGGACGCAGCCCTGCCGCCCCATATTACTACAGTTGGTGCCCACGTGGACAACTGAATCCACAGAAAGCCTGAAAAAGCTTGGGAAAGAGTAAAGCATGCTTTCTTGATAGTGACAATTTCTCGGGTCTACTCTGCTTGCTAGAGGCAAGCAAGTGCCTCATCTAAGAGAGGCTTCCTGACTCAGCTTTAGCTGCAAAGCCTGCAGCTCATTAAGAGTTCCTGCCATGAAACACTTAAATGGTGTTGACGAAAAGCTGAACGCATGCTTTTCGGTTTTCAGCCATAGCAGGAAAAAAGCTGTGCCGTTTAAAAATTCCGGCTTTCTGGGCCATCCTGCCAGGGCAAACTCTGACTGTTTGAGGCAGGAGGGCCGGCTACCGAGAGAGGAGTTGAGTGTTGTCTGTTGTAGCTCACTTGCTGGCAGGGACCTTGAAATGCCATACAGTTGTTGCAGTAAACATGGCTACAGCCTGTATATCCACCATGAGGCTGGAAAGCTAAGGAATGGACTGGATCTAGGTGGCAAAGCCACGCCTTGAATCCTACTGCTATTGCTTGGTAAATTAAAGATTCATGTGGTCAGAAAAAGAGAGATATACAGTAAAGAGAGATTCAAAGACAGAGAAAATTTCTGAATGGTTTAAAGTGTGTTAAAAATATATGCAGACTAAAAGTTGAAGTTCTTAAAGTAAAAAACAAAAAAAGGAAGAGAATTGTTGTGTGTGGTAGCACACGCCTTTAATCCCAGTGCCTAGAAGGCAGAGACAAACAGTTCTCTGTGAGTTCAAGGTGTCTTAGCATACACCTTTAATACCAATGCCTGGGAGGCAGAGACAGGCGGATCTCTGAGAGTTCAAAGACAGCCTGGTCTACAGAGTTACTTCAGGTCAAAGATACAGAGAACCTGTCTCAAAAAGCAAAGAGTTAAAAGTAAAAATAAACAAAATAGAGGTTAAAACAAAGCTGCACAAAGATGGAAAATACACAGAGAATTTTGATACTGTATGCTATTATGCTCTCTTTGAATTGTTTGAATGCTGAGGAAAGAGCAAAAGCTACTAAAAGATATTTATTTATAAATGCTACTGAGCTAATCCAACATAGATATTTTGATGCCTTGAATTTGAAATTTGGACCTAAGGACATGATGCTTTGGAAAGGAGTTTCTTATTTTGTTTTCACAGAGGATGAGACGCTGTTTATTTCTTCTATTCCGATTTGGTATGATGGACCACGCCCTCCTGAAGGGTTGCAGTGAACATCTTCAGAAAATTACTTCGCTCAACTGCCAACTGAGATGAAACTAGCACACAGGTTATACCATGAAAGACCTAATTAACGACGCCCTCATTCAGTAGGAAGCAGTTTGGAGAGATAACTGCGCCCATATTCCCAAAAAATGATTATAAATGTTCTTTTACATTTAAAGGGGGATATGATATAGATATGAATAATTTACATTAGTATAGATTTTGCTTTATTGATAGAGATTTAAGGTCAATTTTGTTATATATATAAGTGTTTCTGATTTTGATTAAGGTATTGTGATTGTGTAGTTCATTTAAATATGTACTGTATAATTAAGAAATATAGGTTGTTAATGGATAATCATCGATAATAGTAAAGCTTATAGTCATGTTAGTTAGATTTTCTAGATATATAGAAATATATTTTAGATAGACATTCTTCATGTCTTTCAAAGATTACAGAATAGGACATTTAATGTTTTAATAACTGAGGACTTTTCATGACAATGAGACACTCTGCTCCTGGCAGCACCAATGTACTTCAAGAGGAAGATGGGCATCGAAGAGGCTCGTTATGGTGTTTGATAGCCATTGGGGCAAGAAACTGCTCTTGTCTGGACTATTGCATAAACTGGACACAGAGAACCCACAGAGAGAGGACTACTGAACTTGCCGAAGGTGAGATGATCTTTCGGGGTTCCTGATTCATGAAAGAGTCTGCGAGACATTCTGCAGGACACAACAGATAGTGACTCAATTGACTTTGAATTTTCCTGCTTTATGGAAATGTCTGCTGGATACCATGGGCCTGAAGGCTGAAGATGGATGCCCCAACGGTACAGAGGAACTTTGGGTGACTGTCCAGGCAGCGAGATGTCTCTGTCATTTCTAGAGTTTGAAGTTTCTTAGTTCTTGTTTACTTAGGTAATATATCTTTCTGGACTCTTTGATGGAGTTAAGAATAGTTAGTTATAGTTATAGTTTTCCTTAGTTAAGATAAAGATTATTGTAACTTTTACTTGATAACTGTTTTGTTATATGTAATTTTGTTATGTTAAAGCCTTTTTTTTGTTTAAACCGAAAAAGGGGAAATGATGGAGGAAGGTCATTGGCTAATAAAGGCACTGCCCTGGCCCATTTTATTGGTTAGAGGATAGGTGGGAGGAGTAAACAGAACAGGACGCTGGGAGGAAGAGGAAGTGAGCAGAGACTCCACAGCTCTGCTCTCCAGAGCAGACGCCTAGGCAGAGACGCCATGCTCCGCTCCCAGGATGAAGCTCCGACCCAGGATGGACTAGGCTAGAATCTCCCCGGTAAGCGCACCTTGTGGTGCTACACACAGATGATTAGAAATGGGCTAAATTAATATGTGAGAATTAGCCTAGAAGAGATTGGGCCAAGCAGTGTTTAAAAGAATACAGTTTGTGTGTTGTTATTTCGGAGCATAAGCTAGCCATGTGGGCGGCCGGGTATGGGGGATGCAACCCTGCCGCCCCATATTACTACACCTATAGGCAGGGTTCCCAAGCACCACCGATCAGGTCCTGCAATCTACATGTTCCATTTCAATCACAAGCCTACTCATCTCCTGTGACCTCAGAAGCCCCCTGAGATACAGACTGTGATTGCACAGAAATGAACAGAAGTGAGTGACCAGCAGCAAACAGACTGCAGCTACACAGAGTGAACCAAGAGCAACTCCCTAAAACAAACAGTAACTGCATAGATTGGTCCAAGACAGGATAACTGAGACACAGACACCAAGTGCAAAAATTGAACTAAGAGGCAAAGACACTACCTGTACAAATTGGACTAACAGATGGGTAAACACCAATGCAAGAATATATTCAACAACCTAAAGAGCAATCAGGTACCACCAGAACCTTATAGTCCTACTACAGAAAAACCTAGACATCCAAAGCCAGAAAAAGCCGAAGAAATAGAATTATCAGTCAAAGAAAACATTAGAGGTAACAACGCCATAACACAAAAATCCAGGAAATTTGGGACACAATTAAAAGACCAAACACAAGAATAATATGGATAGAAAAAGGAGAAGAATAGGAGCTCAAAGGCACAGAAAATATGTTCAACACACTCATAGAAGAAAACTGTACCAACAAGAAGAAGGAAATACCTATGAAAATACAAGAAACATACAGAACACTAAATAGATTGGACCCAAAAAATTCCTTAATCACATAAAAATCAAAACATAAAATGTATAGAATAAAGAATATGAAAAACTGTAAAGGAAAAAAATGAAGTAATATATAAAGGCAGACCCATCAAAATAACACCTGATTTATCAATGTAGACTCTGAAATGTAGAAGGTCCTGACAGGTATTATACAGACACTAAAAGAGCATGGATGCCAAACCAGACTACTATACCCAGCAAAACTTTCAATCACCATAGAAGAAGAAAACAAGATAGTCCATCACAAAACAAGATTTAAACAATACCTATCCACAAATCCAGTCCTACATAAAGTACTAGAGGGAAAAATTCCAACCCAAGGAAGTTAGCTTTACCCATGAAAGCACAGACAATAGATAATCCCACAACAGCAAATCCTAAAGAGAAACACACACATACTGCCACCAAAAGGTAATAGGAATTAACAATCACTGGTCATTAACAATCCTTAAATTGAATGGACTCAACTTGAGTATAAAAAGATACAGATTAACAGAATGGATATGAAAACAGAATCCAACCTTCTGCTGCATACAAGAAACCCACCTCAACTTCAAAACACATATTTCCTATGAATAAAGGGTTAGAAAAAGACTTTCCAAGCAAATGAACCTAAGAAGCAAGCTAGTATAGCTATCCTAATGTCTCACAAAACAGACTTCAAACTGAGATAAATCAATAGAAATGAAGAAGGACATTTGATATTCATTACACGAAAAATCCATTAAGATAAAGTCTCAATCCTGAACATTTATGCCCCCAAAACAAGGGCACCCACATTTGTAAAAGAAATATTACAAAAGCTTAATTTGCACATTAACCCATACAAGCTAATAATGGGAGATTTATCCCCCCCTATCTTACTAATACCCACATCTTCCAGACTGAAAATTAACAGAAAAACAAGGGAACTGTGAGATGTTATGAGTCAAATTGAAGGCAAAAAAAATCAATAAAATAGAAGCAAAGAAAACAATATAAAGAATCAATGAAACAAAGAGTTTGCATGTTGTTTCAATAAAATAGAAATGCTTTAAAATCCATAAAATAGACAAAATCTCATCTAAATTAATGAAAAGTCAGAAAGAGAATATACATATTAACAAAATCAGAAATGAAGAGGGGCATACCAAAAGACACTGAGAAAATTCAGACTCATCAGATCACACTTCAAATATCAGTACTCAACAAAATTGGAAAATTTAAAAAAAAGGGTTAAAAAATTAATAAGTTCCATATACCAAAGTTAAATCAAGACAAAAAAATTTTTAAATAAACCTATAATCAAAGGGATATAGAAATAGCAATTAAAAGTTCCCATCCACAAAAAGCACAGGACCAGAAGACTTCAGCAAAGAATTTTACCAAAATTTTGAGAAAGTACTAATTCCAAAAGTCTTCAAATTTTTCCATGGAATAGGAACAAAAGAAGCATCCCCAAACACTACTACTGCTATAACCAAACCACACAAAGATGCACCTAAAATAGAGAACTAGAGCACACTCTCACTTACAAATATTGATGCGAAAATATTTAGTAAACAGACAAACAGAATCCAAAACTGCATCAAAAAAGACCACAATGACCAAGCAGACTTCATCCCAGATATGCAGGGTTGGCTCAATATCTGAAAATCTGTCGATATAATCCACTGTATCAACAAACTGAAAGAAAAAAAAAACACACAAGATCATCTCATTAGATGCCAAAAATGCCTTTGACAAAATTCAACACCCCTTATGATAAAGATCTTGGAAAGATCAGGAATACAAGAAACAAACCTAAACATTATGAAAGCAATATTTAAAACCCAAAAAATTAACAGAAAAATTAAATGGAAAGAAACTCAAAGTGATTCCATTAAAATCAGGAACATGACAAGGCTCTCCATATCTAGTCAATATAGTACTTGAAGTTCTAGTTAGAGCAAAAAGAAAGCAAAAGGAGATCAAGAGGATACAAATTAAAAAGGAAGAAGTCAAACTTCCATTGTGATGAGATAGGATAAGTTTATATAAGTGACCCAAAAAACTCTATCTGGAAACTCCTACAGTTGATAAACACCTTCAGTAATGTGGAAGGATACAAGATTACCTCTAAAAAAATCAGAAGCCCTACTACATACAAATGATAAATGGGCCAAAAAAAAAAATCAGAGAAACATCAGCCTTTAAAATACCCACAAACAACATAAAATATCTTTGCTTAACTATAGGTAAAAACGTGAAAGGCCTGTATGATAAGAACTTTAAGTCTCTAAGAAAGAAATTTAAGAAGATATCAGGGAGAACTAAACTGAATGCTGAGAGAAAGAAGGAGGCATCTCAAAGATGCTATGTAGCCCCACAAGGAACAGACATGCCAGAATCATTTGAGTAATCCACAGCCATGTGGTGATACACAGATTAATAGAAATGGATTAAATTAAGTTGTAAGAGTTAGCCAATAAGAAGCTAGAATTAATGGATCAAGCAGTGATTTAAATGAGACAGTTTCTGTGTGATTATTTCAGTTCTGGGTAGCCAGGAAAAACAAGCGCCAACAATCCAGCAACTGATGGAACCAGATGGAGAGATCCACAGCCACGCACCAGGCCAAACTCTGAGAATCCAATTGAAGAGAGGGATGAGGGAATATATGGGCAAGAGACATCTCGACCACGCCCGTGGAAATTCATGAACCCTGGACCAAAAGCTGTGTAACTGTCAAGGGACCAAACTAGGCCCTCCTTATGTCAGAGACAGGGGTGAAAATTGGACTATACGTGAGGCACCTGGCAGTAGGATCAGGATCTATCCCTGGTGCATGAGCAAGCTTATTAGAGCACATTCCCTATGGTGGGATGCTATGCTCAACCTTAATGCAGGGTGTGGGGGAGGGGCTTCATCCTGCCCCAATTTAATGTACCAGACTTTGTTAACTTCCCATGGGAACCCTTACACATTGGGAGGAGTGGATGGGCTTTGATCTGACAGGGATAGTTGGGGTGAGAACTATGGTTGAAATGAAAAATGAAATTTAAAAAAAATTAAAAAGGAAAAATGCATAACTTCTTAAAACTTGCTCAAGCCAGATGGTTGCAACACACATCTTTAATCTCAGCACACAGAAAGCAGAAGGCAGGCAGATCTCTGAGAGCACCAAGCCAGCCTGGTCTACAGAGTGAGTTCCAGGACAGCCAAAGTTACACTAAGAATCCCTGTCTTAAAAAACCTAAAGAAATAAACAAATAACAAACAAATAAAAGAATTGTACAACAAAATGATAATTATGTGTGAAATTGGAAACCTTGCCTGATACTCAGGGAAGGAAATTCATGTATCTTGAGGAAAAACCAACAATTGCCAATTTATTAAGCCAGCGTTATCTCTAACTGCATTCTAAATATTTGTCCTTATACACACAGATAAGTGATGTCCTTACTCCTCATCAAAGAAGCTCCTCTTTGGAATGGATGAAGACCATTATTGAAACAAAACAACTCCCATGCTTCAGGTTCTGGAGTAATTGTAGAAGAGGTCAGAAAGATTGTAAGAGTCAGAGGGCAGGGAGTTTGCTAGGAGATTGTGACCTCTAGTTATGTCAGAAGTTGTAATCATAAAGTCTCAGCATGATGGTCTAAAAATGATGTGAACAGGGCCAACATCCATGGTAAAATGAATGAGGGAAAGCCCGAGAGTCTCATTCCTGCACAGAGAACTACAGACAGCTTAGGAAAGCTGACTTTAGAAGAAATAATCTTCACCAAGGAAGAACACATTAATTGGCTATCCAATACAAATGGTCTGTCCTATAATATTTGTATAAGTATTATGCAGGCTCTTAATTTCATTGATTCTTGGTGGTCATGCTGGGGGCATCTCACAACTCAGGCAAACAAACCCTACCTAATCCTTCTGGGATAACCATTGTGTCATTTGTGTTCTTTCAGATCTTTCTTGTATATTGCAAATATATATATATATATATATATATATATATATATATATATATATATGCACTTGCAAATAAATGCAATTCAATTTTCTGTTTATTGTTTCACAGATGTAACAGGGAATGAATCAAGATCCAAGAAACAAAATATAACAAACTCTGATAATGGAAGAGAATTTATGTAAGCAAAGATATTAAGAGTTTGAGCAGGGTTATAAGAACAAATAAAAGATAATAAAAGAATCAGAGATGTCTAGAATATTGATTTCTTACCATAAAAGGGCAATGGAGCTAAGAAAAAAATAGAGGCTTGAAAAATCACAAGTAAAATGTACGACTACAGAACAGAGTGAACAACTGGGAACTGTTAGCAAGATTGGCACAGCTACTTCTGTGCCTACCACATTGGAGCCACAACCATTAGCCCAATTCCTAGCCCAAGTTTTCCATCACTGGCTTATAAGGAATGAAGCATGTGGGTAGACTAGTGAGTTCCATGTGTTGTGAGCTCATTATCACATTTCATCTGCTATGAAAGTGTCCTGTGCTTGATGAAATATCATTTGAATAACATGGAAATTTAGAAAATGTTTTTTGATTAACAAATCATAGGGTTGACACCAACCACTCACAGGTTTCTCAGTAAAGGACAATGAACATAAGGATGTACAGTGGCTACTTATGTGAACAAGACTTTATGAATATGGAAGTCATTCAGTACTGCAGTTAAGTCTGATCCCAATTAACCTCATGCTGTACCTCAAGCCAGTGAATGAGAACAATGGAAATGAAAATGTCATGTAGTGAAGAGCAAGGATTAACTGTGCTGTGTCTGTCTGAGTGCACCAAATTTGATGACGCAGGTGAGTGTATGTGCCGGGTGACTGTCATTACATTGGCGATGACCTGCAAATGACTGGGACCTGGAGGAACTGAACTTTGAGATCTATAAAAGTGCAGAATATCTTCAGGGATGGTTTTACTTCCATATCACAGAGTACTTGTAGCAACACATGCAGTATCTTAGTACCTATTTACCAACTCACAAAGTAAACATACATGTTGCTTCAATTCCTCCTTTCAAATATTATACAATTTATTCTTGAGTTTTACTGTAACATAGAAATATACTAAGAAAAAAGTAATAAATATAAAGGAATAGAAACATGATGTATGTGAAAAGAGTAATGCTAATCTGACAGAAAAACCACGTTTACTTAGTTTCTTGCTGGTATTCCAAAATGGTTTTCAACTCTTGTACACAAAACAAGCATCTATTATACCCCTGTGTGTGTTCTCCTGATTTGAATTTTCTTCCACAGCAGAAAAAATCCAAATGAGTAACATAACTAACTACAAAAGACAGACAAATGGCTCAGTAGAATAAGCTTTTATAAGAAAACTGTCCAGAAATTCCTGCATTGGAGACAATGTATAGTCAACACATATACATATGGGCAACACAATGGATTCAGTATCTTATTTATATCTTATTGTTTTAACATATATATTTGAATATATTAAAATTAAAGAAGTCCTAATGAGTTAAGAAATAAGAGGGGCCAGAAATAAAAGGAGGGGGGAGAAAGAAGAATGAAAATTTTTGAAGCTAATATTCATATATGAAGTACTCAAGAAATAAAACAAGTGTAAAAGAAGTAAGAGAGAAATTTTCCTTTTTCTAAAGGCCTTCAGTATCAGTTACGTCGAAGTAAACACTATTCCTTAGGAACGTAAGTTCAAGATTATTATAATCTTTGCTTTGTAAATAAATGTGATTCTCTGTTTTCAGTAGAGATTATTAATCCAGACTAATCAGAAGAATATGTAAACATATAGAGAAAGACAAAGATATATACATAATTTGTGTATGTGTAATATATATATATATATATGTGTGTGTGTGTGTGTGTGTGTGTGTTTGTGTGTGCAAATATTTTCTGAGGTTGATGGACCGTAACCATCTACATTCAATGAAGAAAGTCCTTAGCTCATCAATTTAAGAAGTTTTCCTATAACTAACTAGCTGTCTGCATACTCTCCTCATTGCAACCTTCATTTCCTGATTTCTGAATGTGTATATCACAGGATTCAGAAAAGGAGTAACAACTGCATCAAAAATTGCCAGAAATTTGTCCAGGTGTATTGAAGGAGAAGGCCAGGTATAGAACAATATCAACGGACCAAAGAATAAGACAACCACAGAGATATGAGCTGAAAGTGTGGACAGAGCCTTAGAGGAAGACCTTGACGAGTGTTTTTGTACAGGGATTATGATGAAAATATAAGAAATGATCAGTATGATGAAGGCCCGCAGAGATGAATCCACTGTTGGCTGTGACCATGAATTCCAGTTGGTAAGTGTCTATGCAGGCAAGTTTGATAAATCGAGGAAGGTCACAGTAGAAGCTGTCCAACACATTTGGCCCACAGAAAGGTAAGTCTACTACAAAAGCCAGTTGAACCAGAGAGTGAATAAGGCCAACCACCCAGGCAGCCACTAAAAACAAGATGCACATCCTCGGGCTCATAATGGTCAAGTAATGGAGAGGCTTACATATGGCCACATATCTGTCGAAAGCCATGGCTATGAGTAGCACCATCTCCACACCACCAATGACATGAATGAAGAAGATTTGAGTGAGACAGCCTCTAAAGGAGATGACTCTGTGTTTTCTGAATAAGTCATAAATCATCTTGGGGGACACAACAGAAGAAACACCCATGTCGACGAAGGAGAGGTTAGCCAACAGGAAGTACATGGGAGAGTGTAGGTGAGGGTCAGAAGCCACAGCGAACACGATGAGGGAGTTTCCTGTCATGCTTGCTACATAAAACATGGAGGAGAACACAAAGAGCAATAGTTGAATACTCCAAGAATTGGTGAGTACAAGGAACACAAACTCTGATATCAGGGACTGATTCACTCCTTCCACTGACCTTTTTGTCAGTGCTACCTGAGAGAAGAAACAGGAGAAATGATAAATTATAATTGTATTAAGGTAAAATCCTGCATTTATATATAAACCAGTGCTGGGCATCACTAGTCATCAGGAGATCATGACTTCAAACCATAATAAAATATCACCTCACAGTTTTCAAAGATAACAAAAGAAGGTGCTTGGGAAGTGCTGGGGGAGGAAAGGAAATGGAAATGAGGTAATTGTATTTATATTTCAAAAGCTTTAATTTTTTAAAGAAAACAAATATTGGTTGTTTTTAAAAAATTTGATGTGAATATGAATTAGTCTATTTATTTAGGAAGACAAATAATTTGTGGAGGTCCTTCAAAAAGTTAAAAATATAGACTGCGTTTGTAGCCCAATGAAATAAAATTACAGATGAATAAGGACCTAAATTAGCTTCTCAACACCGTAAATGATAAAGAGTTGTAGGCCGAGAATAAAACAGTTGAAGAGCAATGGAAAAGACTAAAAACTGGAAATATTAAGCTAGAGAGATACCTTGACTGGTAAGGGCATTCACTGTGTAATTGTGATAACCTGTGTTCAGATCCCAGCATCCAAACAAGAAGCTAATTGTGACTGTGTGTGTCTGTACCTACAGTGTTGTGAAAGCTGGAAATAAATGATCACTTGAGCTTGGGGACTGCCAGACTAGATCCAGGCTCAGCATGAGACACCGTTTCAAAGAAATCAGGTAGAGAATGAGAAAGCAGGACACAGAACATTCTCTTCTGACCTCCAATGTACACGAGTCTGTATTATTTTATATGCACGTACATGTACACACACACACACATCCAGTATACACTGACCATACTCATATATATAAAATCACAATACAATATAATAGTAATAATAATAATAGTAAATTTAATTTTTAAAATAAATATAGATATATTATATGATATAACAATTCTAATGTGAAGAATATATATCCAGAAAATGTAACATTCACAAATTAGAAGCAATATGTATAAATAAGATGTGTTAAATAATAGACGAGTGGATAACACACACACAAAAAGACACTCTGACACACATGGACTATTCTTTGTTCTCCTTCAAACAAAGAAATCCTATTTTTTTTTACCACAATAAGACTAGAAGTCAATGGGCTAACTGAATTAAAGAAACATGGAAAGTCTAATGCTGAAATGTATCAGTCGGCATGGACTCTAGGGACACTAAACTCATAGAAGCAGAAAATATAACAACAGATCGTGAGCAAATGGGATGGGATAGAAAGGGGAAAATGGAGATATTTGTAAAAAGGGAAATGCATAATTAGACTTGATGGATAGCTTCTAGAGATTCATGGCACAGTGAGGTGACTGTTACTAACAGCAGCACTTACATGAAAATTGGTAAGTGCAGAACTTCGTCATTCATTTTCTAATCAGTATGGGTGGCAACTAAGCTGGTTAGCTCACAACATGCACATGTATTTTAAGGTTTTTATATATTTTTTGTATTTTATATATTCACATATATAAAACATCTCGCTATTCAATATAAATATTACAAAATCTATTTGTTAATTGTGCCTTCATAAAACTAGAGGAAGAAAGGTTTTCTATTATGCTCATATAATATGAATTTGTAGTCATGCAGAGAAGCTGCTGCCAGTCATGCAGTCATGTTGAGCTATTTATAAATTCAATATCCCTCTACTTTCAAACTAGAGTGAGTTCACAGCTATTCCACGTAAGGTGGAAGATTAGTAAATACTAAAAACAAAATTCATCCCCAAGGTCTTTACACTTTCATTTGAAGACTAGTATGTTATCAGTTCAATTACAGAATAAAAAGCTACTCATCATTTTTAACTCTCCATATTGATATCTATAGCAAAGGCTACAGACCTTATTCTGACATTTATTCCCTAACTTCTAACTTCACTGCAAAATAGTTAACATCAAGATCATGAAATGTGTCCCTTTGCCATGTCTTGCTTACAAATTAACATTAAAATACTATATTTTAATTGAGCTAACTGGACAGGAGACTAACTCACCAAACAGAGACTGATACATAATTTTATTCTTTGAAACAAGAAATTTTTCTAGCAATTGACATTGTGACAAGGTAAGCATCCAAACTACATTCATGGAGACAATCAGTTTTTGAAGTACTGGGAATAACAGGAGTCACTGCCCTGAAGTAATTCCAAATGAACTGAATCCTTGGCAAGATAACATAATGTAATAGTAACTATATGTTGCTATCTCTGTAAAATGGGTTGTCACATTATAATTTAGGGTTTTGTTTTATTTAAAGAATTAACATAGATACTAGATAAGATAGGGGTTTGGTTCAAAAACCAAGATTAATGCCATACTTTACTGGTAGTTTAATACCATGCTAATTGTATAAAAATCTGTGAATTGGTTTTACTTATCTACTGAACAAATAAAAACATTGATTTATATTTAACTTCCAGCCTAAAATGAATATCCTAACCATATACTCCATAAGTAAGTATACAAATGTGAGTCTTCAATAAATGTTATCATTTTGTTACTATCACTTGTCAATAATAGGACCCAACACGTCAGATAAACCAATTTAAAAAGTGAATGTTAATTAGCAGTAAGCACGAAAAATACAGATTGAAAACATAGTAGCACACTTATTTAACAATATTTTAATGTTCGTCTTTATAGTCTGGCAAATAAATGAATGTATTCTTAGTTCACTTGCTCTCAAAGAACAGTTGGTCTGTATTTACTACTCATCAAAAATATAATTCATTAAACCCTCCTCCATTAGACACCAGCCTATGAGGTTTAGTCTTACATCTTTTTACCTGTCTTCTCGTCCCAAACCTTAAAATCAGAAAAACTGTAAAAATAAAGAAGCAAATATTTGCTAAAAGATGTTCTTTTTTATTCCTTTTACTGAGATATACATATTCTTCACTCCCCTTCCTTCCTCTTCTCTCCTTTTCTACCCTCTCTGTGACTTCCATGCTCCCAATTTACTCAGGAGATCTTGTCTTTTTCTCCTAAGTAAAGCCTCGTAAAGCTCTCGTAGGATTTTCTTTGTTGACTAGCATCTATGACATTGTGAACTGTAGGCTGATTTTTTCTTTATGTTTAAAAGTCACTATGAGTGAGTGTATTATACTTGTCTTTCTGAGTCTGGGTTACCTAATTCATTATGGTTTTTCTAGATCCATCCATTTGCCTGAAAATTTCAAAATGTCATTATATTTTACTGTAGAATGCAAAAGATGTTATTTGCTGATTAAAAACTCTATATGTAGCTGTATAGTTTATTGAGATAGTGTAGGCAGAGTTCTGAAACAACAGAGAAAACTGAAGAAAAATGATATTATTAAAACTGAATAGAGAATGCTGGATAAATAAATGATAATAAACAGAAAGTCAAAAACTACAATGATTACACTTGTCTAAATAGCTTTTGCAATGGCTTTGTATTAATGATTCTTTTTCACATTCTACTGAATCTGTTTGGCAAAATTTTTAAACTCCATACAATCTTTCTTTACAAAACTAATACTTATTATAAAAATGTTAAACATCATAACTCATTGTTTTGTGCTCAATAAAATTTCTTTGTATGTATTATCTGTGACTTATTCCTTTCTCTAGCTATTGTAAATAGAATAGCAAAAACATGAATATAAAAATATCTTTGCAGTAGAATATTTCCTGTGGTCATTCAAATTAGAATATATCCCATATGCTCAAATGTTTGAATATTTGGTCCCCAGTTGGTGGCACTGTTTGGGTAGGTTTAGGACCTACACAGTACCTGGTAGAAGTAGGTGACTGTGATGGGCTCTGAGGGTTCAAAGCCTCGCAGCACTCCCAGTGCGGTCTGTTTTGTGTTTATAACAAGTATATAAGTTCTTAGTTCCTGTCACCATGCTCCTGCTCTGAAATCATAGATGCTTAGGTCTATGTAACTATAAATCTAAATAATCTCTTCCTTCTTGGAGTTGCTTTGGTCATGGTGTTTTATCTCATATAAATGGAAAATTAAGTAAGACAGGGTCCTTTATTATGTGGTCATGGTTGGTATAGCTGGTAATATGATAGTTCTATTTTAAATTTTTCTTCTCTTAATTTTTTGAATATTTTCATACAAGGAAGTCAGGACTGTGAGGGGTGCCCCCACCCACTGAGACAGTGGGGCTAATCTATTGGGAGCACACCAAGGCCAGCTGGACTGGGACTGAAAAAGCATGGGATAAAACCAGAATCTCTGAACATGGCGGACAATGAGGGCTGATGAGAAGCCAAGGACAATGGCACTGGGTTTTGATCCTACTTCATGTACTGGCTTTGTGGGAGCCTAGCCAGTTTGGATGTTCACCTTCCTAGACCAGGATGGAGGGGGGAAGACCTTGGACTTTCCACAGGGCAGGGACCCCTGACTGCTCTTTGGACTGGAGAGGGGGGAAAGAGGAATAGGGGGAGGGGAAGAGAAGTGGGAGGAAGGGGAGGGAAATGGGAGGCTGGGAGGAGGCGGAAATTTTTTTTCAATAAAAAAGAAAAAGAAAAAAGAAAAAAAAATCATACAATGTATTTTGATTATATTTCTTCCCCTAAATTCAACTCCTCCCCACAATACATCCCTACTCTTCCAAATTCATATTCTCTCTCTGAAAAAAAACCATATTACCCTCTCTGAAAAAAACCAAACAAAAAAAAAATAAAAGCTTTAAGAAACACCAAAACAAACAAAAACAAAATCATAGAGTCTGTTTTGTGTTGATCAAATATTTCTTGAGCATATAGCTTTCTCTGGGGTCATATACCCAGTGTCACTCCACTGAAAGAAACTGACTTTCACTTTGCCAACATCATTCAATTGTAAATAGCTTCTTGGAGTAGAAACTTATGCCTATTTCCCTTTCTTCATGATAGGGTATTTTCTGTTTTGGACTTGCTGGATATTGTGCATGCAATTATAGTCTCTGACAGTTCATTTGCCCAAAATCCATGTTGTTTCCTTAAAGTTTAAGATCCACCACCTTTGGCTCTTATGATCTTTCTATCTAGTCTTCCATATAGATCTCTGAACCTTGAGGGAGGAGCAGTAATACAGTCATCACATTTAAAGATAAGTGGTCTGAAGTCTCTCATCCTATTCCTGGTGACAAGCTGTGGGCCTCTGTGTTAACTACCCTCTACTGCAAGAATTTTCATTGATGAGAACTGAGTGATTGCCTAATCTATGGGTATAGTAATGTTTTTAGAGTCATTTTGTTAGCAGAATAATTGTAGTATATTTTATATAGTGTCTCTGGCCTATGTAGTCTCATGTTCTTGACATAATTAGCAGTCTCATATATGGCGTTCATATCATTGTATATGTCTTGAATCCAATCAAACAACGGTTTTTTAGTTCCATGGCATTTGTGTCACTATTGCACGAATGCATATATCATGCAGATATGTCTCTATTGTAACTTACAGGGTTTGTGGCTGGGTGAAATTTATTAATACTTTTCTCCTCCAGTAATGTTCATAGTACCGTTCCGTGCTATGAATATTAGTCAGTATATTTTAGATGCCTCCACACTGATTTCCATAGTGGCTCCACCTATCACCTCAACAGTAATGATTAAGGATTTCACTTTTCTAACCAACAATTCTTTGTTTTCTTTTTTATTAATATTTATTGAGCTGTACATTTTTCTTTCCTCCCCTCCCTCCCTTTTCCCTCCCTGCTTCAATCCTCCCCCAAGGTCTCCAGCTCCCAATTTACTCAGGAGATCTTGTCTGTTTCTGTTTTCTACTTCCCATGTAGATTAGATATGTGTAAGTCTCTCTTAGTCTAAGTCATCATTGTGGTTTGTAGGCTTTCTTTGTTTTATGTTTTAAAACCACCTATGAATGAGTACATATGATAATGGTCTTTCTGTGACTGGGTGACCTCACTCAAAATAGTGTTTTCTAGCTCCATCCATTTTTATGCAAAATTCAAGGTCATTAATTTTCTCTGCTGTGTAGTACTTCATTGTGTAAATGTACCACATTTTCCTTATCCATTCTTCAGCCCAGGGGCATTTTGGTTTTTTCCAAGTTCTGGCTATGGCAAACAAAGCTGCTATGAACATAGTTGGGCACATGTCCTTGTGGCATGATTGAGCATCCTTTGGATAGATACTCAAAAGTGGTATTACTGGGTCTTGAGGAAGGTTGTTTCCTAATTTTCTGACAAATCACCACACTGACATCCAAAGGGGTTGTACCAGCTTTCATTCCCACCAGCAATGCAGAAGGAGGTTGTGGGGGAAAGGGAACACTTCTGCACTGCTGGTGGGAACAATTTTTTATTATTTTGTTTTATTAATTTAAAAAATACCAATCCAAATTCCCACTCCCCCCTCCTCCCACTCTCTCCACTCACCATACTACCCCACTTCCTCTAATCCAAAGAGAGGGCAATGCACCCCACAATGGGGAAACTTCAAGGCCCTCCCTACTACATCTAGGTTGAGCGAGGTATACATCCAAAGAGAATAGGATCCCATAATGCCAGTACATTCAGTAGAGACAAATCCCAGTTTCCCTATCAGTGGCCCCACAGTCTTCCCCAACTTTCAACCACATTCAGAGGGACTAGTTTTTTCCCATGCCCGTTCACTCCTAGTCCAATTGGAGTTGGTGAGCTCCCTTTAGCTCAGACAAACTGTCTCAGTGGATGAACCCCTCATGGTCTTGACTTCCTTGTTTATATTCTCACCCTTTCCACTCTTCAACTGGATCTCAGGAGCTCAGTCCAGTGCTCCAATGTTGGTCTTTCCTTTGTTTCCATCTGTTGTTGGACGAAGTTTCTATGGTGATATTTAAAATAATCATCAGTCAGACTACAGGGCAAGGCCAGTTCAGACACCCTCTCCACTATTGCTTAGGGTCTTAGCTGGGGTCAACCTTGTGGATTCATGTGCATTTTTCTAGATCCAGGTTTATCGCTAACGCCATAAGGGCTTCCTCAATAGAGATATCTTTTTCCTTGCTCTCATATCTGTCCTTCCTCCATCTTGACTATCCTATTACCTCAAGTTCTCCTCAACCCTCCCCATTCTCCCCTCCTTCTACCCTCTGCCCCATGCTCCCAAATTATGTCAGATGATCTAGTCTCTTTCCAATTTCCAGGTGGATATGTGTGTGTGTGTGTGTGTGTGTGTGTGTGTGTTTCTTTGGGTTCACGTTATTACATAGTTTCTCTAGAATCAGGAACTATAGGCTCAATATCCCTTGTTTATGGCTAGTAGCCACTTATGAGTGAGTACATAGCTTACTCATTTTGGGGGGTCTAGGTTACCTCACACAGAAGAGTGTTTTCTAATTCCATCCATTTGCATGCAAAATTCAAGATGTCATTGTTTTTTACTGCTGAGTAGTACCCTAATGTGTATAGGTGCCACACATTCTTTATCCATTTTTCAGTTGAGGGATATCTAGATTGTTTCCAGGTTCTGGCTATTACAAATTATGCTGCTATGAACATAGTTGGACAAATGATTTGTAGTGTGATTGAGCATCTCTTGGGCATATTCCCAAGAGTGGTATTGCTGGATCCTGAGGTAGGTTGATTTTCAGCTTTCTGAGATACCGGCACACTGATTTCCAAAGTGGTTGCACAAATTTGCATTCCCACCAGCAAGGGATGAGTGTTCCCCTTGCTCCACATCCTCTACAGCATAAGCTATCATTAGTGGTTTTGATTTTAGCCATTCTGACAGATGTAAGATGGTATCTCAGAGTTGTTTTGATTTGCATTTCCCTGATAGCTAAGAAAGTTGAACATATCTTTAAGTATCTTCTGGCTATTTGAAATTCTGTTGAGAATTCTCTGTTTAGTTCAATACACCATTTTTAATTGGGTTATTTAGAATTTTAATGCCTAATTTCTTGAGTTCTTTATATATTTTGGAGACCAGTCCTTTGTCTGATGTCGGGTTGGTGAATATTTTTCCCATTTAGTAGCTGCCTTTTTGTCTGATTGCCTGTGTCCTTTGCTTTACAGAGGCTTCTCAGTTTCAGGAAGTCCCATTTATTTATTGTTGTTCTTTTTTTTTAACTTTTTTTTATTGAGAAAAGAGAAAAAAAAAACAAATTTCCTCCTCCTCCCAGCCTCCCATTTCCCTCCCCCTCCTCCTACCCTTCTCCCCCTCTCCCCGCTCCTCTCCCCCTCCCTCTCCAGCCCAAAGAGCAGTCAGATTTCCCTGCCCTGTGGTAAGTCCTACGTCCTCCCCCCTCCGTCCTTTTCTAGGAAGGTGAACATCCAAACTGGCTAGGCTCCCACAAAGCCAGCATATTACGTAGGTTCAAAACCCCGTGCCATTGTCCTCGGGTTCTCATCAGCCCTCATTGTTGGCCATGCTCAGAGAGTCCAGTTTTATCCCATGCTTTTTCAGTCACAGTCCAGCTGGCCTTGGTGAGCTCCCAATAGATCAGCTCCACTGTCTCAGTGGGTGGGTGCTCCCCTCGTGGTCCCGACTTCTTTGCTCATGTTCTCTGTGCTACTGCGGTTATATTTAGGAAGTGTGATCTCCTGTGCCCATGCAATGAAGGCTACTTCCCACTTTCTCCTCTATCAGGTTCAGTATGATCATATTTAAATTGAGGTCCTTAATCCATTTGGACTTAAGTTTTGTACATGGCGATAGATATTTTCGTTCTTCTACAGGTTGACATCCAGTTATGCCAGAACCTTTTGTTAAAAATGCTTTCTTTTCCCATAGTATAATTTTAGCATCTTTGTCATAAATCAGGTGTTCATATGTGTGTGGATTAATATCCAGGACTTCAATTCAATTCCATTGGTCAATGTCTCTTTTTATGCCAATACCAAGCTGTTTTTAATACTGTGGCTCTGTATTTCAATACTTCAAGCTCTGATTTTTCCCTCTCTGATTCTTTATCCTTTGTGTACAGGAGGGCTACTGATTTATTTAAGCTGATCATGTATCCTGCCACATCAGTGAAGGTATTTATCAGCTGTAGGAGTTCTCTGGTCGAGTTTTTGAGGTCACTTATGTACACTATCATATCTTCTGCAAATAACAAAAGTTTGACTTCTTCCTCTCCAATTTGAATCCCCTTGATCTCCTTCTGTGGTTTTATTGCTATCGGAAATTTCAAGAACTATGTTGAAGAGATATGGAGAGACTGGACAGCCTTGTCTTGTTCCTGATTTTAGTGGAATGGCTTTGAGTTTCTCTCTATTTAATTTTATGTTAGCTGTCAGCTTGCTGTACATTGCTTTTATTATATTTAGAGATGATCCTTGTATCCCTAATCTCTCCAAGACCTTTATTATGAAGGGGTGTTGAATTTTGTCAAATGATTTTTCAGCATCTAAAGAAATGGTCATGTCTTTTTTTCTTTTAGTTTATCTATATGATGGATTACATTGATAGATTTTCATATGTTGAACCAGACCTGCATCTCTGGAATAAAGCCTACTTGATCATGACAGAAGATTTTTATTGATGTGTTATTGGATTCGGTTTGCCAATATTTTATTGAGAATTTTTGCATCGATGTTCATGAGTGAGACTGATTTGTAAGTCTCTTTCTTGGTTGAGTCTTTGTGCAGGTTTTGTATCAGAGTAACTGTAGCCTCATAAAAAGAGTTTGATAATGACCCTTCCGTTTCTATTATGTGGAACACTTTGAGGAGTATAGGTATTAGCTCTTCTTGAAAGTTCTGGTAGAATCCACCACTAAAACCATCTGGCTCTGGCTTTTTTTTGGTTGGGAGGTTTTTGATAACAGCTTCTATCTCCTTGTGGTTTATAAGTCTATTTATATTGCTCACCTGTTCTTCTGTTCTTGGTTTAATTTTGGTATATGGTATCTATCTTAATAATTGTCCATTTCTTTTACATTTTTCAATTTTGTGGAGTAAAGGTTTTTTTTTTTTTCGAGACAGGGTTTCTCCATAGCTTTTGGTTCCTGTCCTGGAACTAGCTCTTGTAGACCAGGCTGGCCTCGAGCTCAGAGATCCACCTGCCTCTGCCTCCTGAGTGCTGGGATTAAAGGCGTGCGCCATCACCGCCCGGCTGGAGTAAAGGTTTTTGTAGTAAGAGCTAATGGTTCTTTGGATTTCCTCAGTGTCTGTTGTTATGTTCCCCTTTTCATTTCTGATTTTGTTAATTTGGATGTTCTCTCTCTCTGCCTTTTGATTAGTTTGGATAAGGGTTTGTCAATTTTATTGATTTTCTCAAAGAACCAGCTCTTTGTTCCATTGATTCTTTGTATGGTTTTCTGTGTTTCTATTTTGTTGATTTCAGCCCTCACTTTGATTATTTCCTGTCTTCTATGCCTCCTAGGTGAGTCTGATTCTTTTTTTCTAGAGCTTTCAGGTGTGCTGTTAGGTTGCTAATATGAACTTGCTCCATTTTCTTTATATGGGCACTTAGTGCTATGTACTTTCCTCTTAGCACTGTTTTCATAGTGTTCCATAGGTTTGGATATGTTATGCTGTCATTTTAATTGAATTCAAGGAAGAATACAATTTCTATATTTCTTCCTTGACCCAAGGGTGGTTCAGTAGTTGATTGTTCAATTTCCATGAGTTTGTAGATTTTCTGGAAGTAGTACTGTTGTTGAATTTTAACTTTACTCCATGGTGATTCAATAAGACAAAGTGGGTTACTCCAGTTTTTTTTTATCTGTGATTTTTCTTTGTTACCATATTTGATCAATTTTAGAGAAGGTTCCATGAGGTGCTGAGAAGAAGGTATATTCTTTCCTGTTTGGGTGGAATGTTCTACAGATGTCAGTTATGTCCATTTAATTCATTACATCTGTGAGTTCTCTTATTTCTCTGTTAAGTTTCTGTCTGGTTGACCTGTCCATTGGTGGGAGAGGAGTGTTGAAATCTGCTACTATTAATGTGTGGGATTTGATGTGTGATTTAAGTTTTAGTAATGTTTCTTTTACATGTATGGGTGCTCTTGTATTAGGGGCATAGATATTCAGGATTGAGACTCCATATTGATGAATTGTTCCTGTTATGAGTATAAATTGTCCTTCTCCATCTCTTCTGATTGATTTTAGTTTGAAATCAATTTTGTTAGATATTAGGATACCACACCCACTTGTTTCTTAGGTCCATTTGATTAGAAAACCTTTTCCCAAACTTTTACTCTGAGGTTGTGTCTGCCTTGGAGGTTGAGGTATGTTTTTTGTAAACAACAGAATGCTGGATCATTTTTTGTATCCATTCTCTTAGCCTGTGTCTTTTTATACGTGAATTGATTCCATAAATATTAAGCTATATTAATGATGAATGATTGTTAATTTTGGTTATTTTTTGGTAGTAGTGTTTTGATATTTCCCTTCTGTGGGTGATGCTGATGGGTGGTTATCAGATGCCTGTGATTTTGTGGGTGCAGTTAGCTTCCTTGGGTTATGGTTTTCCTTCCAGTATTTTCTAGTAAAATTTTTGTCATCTGGCTCCTTGATGATAAAGATTCTGACTGGAGCGAGATGGAATCCCATTAGTTCTAATTTGTAGTTCCCTAGTGGCTAAAGATGTTGAGAATTTAAAACATTTTTCTTCTTTTATTTATTTTTTTCCCATGCAACCAATCCCAATTGCAGCCTGCCCTCCTCCAATGCATTAATCTAATTAATCTCTTTAAATAAAAAAATCAGGAGTCAGTTATCAGGTTAGAATATGAAAGACTAGAGAAACAGGGAGCAGCCACCAGTCGCTATATACCTATACCATTACTCCATCCAGAAAGAGATCCTCTCCCCCTGGACCTTACTACTACTGTCTCCTCTCTGTCTATAGTCCTTCAAACCCCCATGGTTAATTTATATGAATAAATAGACCAAATTTGCAAGGAAATATTTTTCTCAGATATTAACAATGAACATTTGTACTCAGTTAAGAATGATCAGTGTGCAAGTGTTTAATTATTTGTCTATAAACAATTATCTGTTTAAATACTCTCATCAAGGTCCCAATGAGGAGTAGAAGGAGGGAGAACATGAGCAAAGAAGTCATGACCACGAGGGGAGCACCCACCCACTGAGACAGTGGAGCTGATCTATTGGGAGCTCACAAAGGCCAGCTGAACTGTGACTGAAAAAGCATGGGATAAAACTGGACTCTCTGAGCATGGCCAACAATGAGGGCTGATGAGAACCCAAGGACAATGGCACGGGGTTTTGAACCTACGTAATGTGCTGGCGTTGTGGGAGCCTACCCAGTTTGGATGTTCACCTTCCTAGAAAAGGACGGAGGGGGGAGGACCTAGGACTTACCACAGGGCAGAGAAATCTGACTGCTCTTTGGGCTGGAGAGGGAGGGGGAGAGGAGAGGGGGGAGGGGGGAAGGGTGGGAGGAGGGGGAGAAGGGTGGGAGGAGGGGGAGGGAAATGGGAGGCTGGGAGGAGGAGGAAATTTGTTTTTTTTTCTTTTCTCATTAAAAAAATAAAATGTTGATTTTTAAAAAAAAATACTCTCATCATTGCCATTTTCATTTCTTGATTCCTGAATGTGTAGATCACAGGGTTCAGAAAGGGAGTGACAACTGCATCAAATATGGACAGAAACTTATCCAAGTGTGTGAAAGAAGAAGGCCATGTGTAGATGAACATCACAGGACCAAAAGCTAAGACCACCACGGTCACATGAGCTGAAAGTGTAGAAAGAGCCTTGGAGGAGCCACTTGAAGAATGTTTGTGGACAGTAAATATAATGACAATATAGGAAATGATCAGTATGAAGAAGAAGCCCACAGATATGAATCCACTGTTGACAAAGACCAGTAATTTCAGTTTGTGTGTATCTACACAGGCAAGTTTGATGAACCCAGGAACGTCACAGTAGAAGCTGTCCAAAACATTTGGTCCACAGAATGGTAAGTTTACTACAAAAGCCAATTGAATAAGAGAATGCATAAGGCCAACCACCCAGGAGGCCACTGAAAACAAGACACACATCTTTGGACTCATAATGGTCAGATAATGGAGAGGCTTACATATGGCCACATATCTGTCAAAAGCCATGGCTATGAGTAAAACCATCTCCACACCACCAATGAGGTGAATGAAGAATATCTGAGTGATGCATCCTCTAAAAGTGATGACTTTATGCTTTCTCAACAAATCATAAATCATCTTGGGGGAAATAACAGAAGAAACACCCAAGTCGATGAAGGAGAGGTTAGCCAACAGAAAGTACATGGGAGAGTGTAAGTTAGGATCAGAAGCCACAGTGATTACTATGAGGGAGTTTCCTGTCATGCTTGCTACATAAAACATGGAGGAGAACACAAATAGGAATAATTGGATGTCCCAAGAGTTGGTGAGTCCCAGGAACACAAACTCTGACACCACAGACTGATTCTTTCCTTCCATTGGCTCTGTTGGCAGTGCTACCTGAAGGAAGAAATGTGAGAAACTATAAATTATAATTTTATAAATAGAATAGGAGAATCTCCTAGTAATGAAAATCTATTTTATTGCAACATTGAAACTAACTTTAAAGTGAGTAGTGTGAGACAAGTAAGTTCTATACACAACCAATAATCTGAAATTTATAAATTAGTTGGAAATAGTATTTAACTCCTGTAACAAAAGTTTTCATCAAAAACTCAAAGACAGTAAGGGTTGGTGGGCTTTAAATGAGGATACTAGGGCCAGGTGAACTGGCTCATTTATTAAGAGCAGTTGCTACTCTTTCAAAAAGAACCCCGCTCTGTTCTTAGCATCCATACCAAGTAGCTTACAATAGTCTATAGTTCTAGCTCCAGGGAATCTAATGACACCTCTTAGTTTCATGAGATTTTCTCAAGCATAAATCATAAAATTAATCATAAAGACACATACATGTAATTTTTAAATGAATGTTTATAAAGAGAATATTTTTATAAACTGTTGATGACAATTTAAATTAACACATCCATAAAGGAAAAAGTATGAGAAGTTTTCAAAAACTAGAGACTAGATTTGCAGCACAGTATAGGTGTGCTTGTCTAACAAATTTTATCCTTATATTGGTTTTATACTTAATAGTATAATACAAAAAGAGAAGTGTGGTGAGATATAAGGTAGAAAAAAGAAGACAAAAGATGCAAATGATTAAACGAGAAGTACCATACAATATAGAATTTCTCCACTCTCTCCATACCTCTTCAATATAGTCCTTGAAGTTCTAGCAATAGCAATAAGACAACATAAGGGGATCAAGGGAATTCGTATTGGAAAAGAAGAAGTTAAGCTTTCGTTATTTGCAGATGATATGATAGTATACATAAGCGACCCCAAAAACTCTACCAAAGAACTCCTACAGCTGATAAACACCTTTAGTAATGTGGCAGGATACAAGATCAACTCCAAAAAATCAGTGGCCTTCCTATACACTAAGGATAAGGAAACAGAGAGGGAAATCAGAGAAGCATCACCTTTCACGATAGCCACAAACAGCATAAAATATCTTGGGGTAACTCTAACCAAGGAAGTGAAAGATCTATTTGACAAGAACTTTAAGGCATTGAAGAAAGAAATTGAAGAGGATACCAAAAAAATGGATGGACCCCCCTTGCTCTGGATTGGGAGGATCAACATAGTAAAAATGGCAATTCTACCAAAAGCAATCTATAGATTCAATGCAATCCCCATCAAACTCCCATCAAAATTCTTCACAGAGCTGGAGAAGACAATAATCAACTTTATATGGAAAAACAAAAAACCCAGGATAGTCAAAACAATCTTATACAATAAAGGATCATCTGGAGGCATTACCCTCCCTAACTTCAAACACTATTACAGAGCTACAGTATTAAAAAAAGCTTGGTATTGGCATAAAAACGGGGAAGTCGACAAATGGAATCGAAGAGAAGACCCTGACATTAACCCACAAACATATGAACACCTGATTTTTGATAAAGGAGCTAAAAGTATACAATGGAAAAAAGAGAGCATCTTCAACAAATTGTGCTGGCAATACTGGATGTCAACCTGTAGAAGAATGAAACTAGATCCATATCTATCACCATGCACAAAATTCAAGTCGAAATGGATTAGAGACCTCAATATCAGTCCAATCACACTGAACCTGATAGAAGAGAAAGTGGGAAGTACTCTACAACACATGGGCATAGGAGACCACTTCCTACGTATAACCCCAGCAGCACTGACATTAAGGGCCTCATTGAATAAATGGGACCTCCTGAGACTGAGAAGCTTCTGTAACGCAAAGGACACTGTCACTAAGACACAAAGGCAACCCACTGACTGGGAGAAGATCTTCACCAACCCCGCAACTGACAAAGGTCTGATCTCCAAAATATATAAAGAACTCCTGTAGTAATAACAAGAGCGGGACTGCATCCCTGGCACCCCAGCTGCCTGGCGAGCTTATGCCCCAAAATAACAACACACAAACTGTATTCATTTAAACACTGCTTGGCCCTTTAGCTCTAGCCCTTCCTGGCTAATTCTGATATCCCGATACACCCATCTCTAATAATCTGTGAGAACCGGTCTTACCGGGAAGATTCTAGCCTAGTCCATCCTGGGTCAGAGCTTCATGGTATGCCCGGGAGCAGGGCATGGCGTCTCTCTCAGGAGTCTGCTCCCAAGAGGAGAGCTGTGGAGTCTGAGCTCACTTCCTCTTCCTCCCAGCGTCCTGTTCTGCCTACTCCTCCCAACTATCTTTCAAACAATAAAATGGGCCAAGGCAGTTCCTTTATTGGCCAATGACCTTCCTCCATCAAACTCCAGAAACTAGACCGTAAAAATCTAATCAACCCAATTATAAAATGGGGCACTGAGCTGAACAGAGAATTCTCAACAGAAGAAGTTCAAATGGTCAAAAGACACTTAAGGTCATGCTCAACTTCCTTAGCGATCAGGGAATTGCAAATCAAGACAACTTTAAGATACCATCTTACACCTGTCAGAATGGCTAAAATAAAAAACACCAATGATAGCTTTTGCTGGAGAGGTTGTGGAGAAAGGGGTACACTCATCCATTGCTGGTGGGAATGCAAACTTGTGCAACCACTTTGGAAAGCAGTGTGGCAGTCTCTCGGGAAATTCGGGATCAACCTACCTCTGGACCCAGCAATACCACTCTTGGGAATATACCCAAGTGACGCCTTATCATACAACAAAAGTATATGCTCTACTATGTTCATAGCAGCATTATTTGTAATAGCCAGAAGGTGGAAACAACCTAGATGCCCTTCAATGGAAGAATGGCTTAAGAAAGCATGGAATGTATACATATTAGAGTACTACTCAGCAGTAAAAAATAAGGACTTCTTGAATTTTGCATACAAGTGGGTGGAAATAGAAAACACTATCCTGAGTGAGGTAAGCCAGACCCAAAAAGAGGAACATGGGACATACTCACTCATATTTGGTTTCTAGCCATAACAAAGGACATTGAACATATAATTAGTGATCCTAGAGAAGCTAAATAAGGAGAACCCAAAGAAAAATATATAGGCATCCTCCTGAATATTAACCTTCATCAGGCGATGAAAGGAGACAGAGACAGAGACACACTTTGGAGCACCGGACAGAAATCTCAAGGTCCAAATCAGGAGCAGAAGGAGAGAGAGCACGAGCAAGGAACTCAGTACCACGAGGGGTGCACCCACACACTGAGAGAATGGGGATGTTCTATCGGGAACTCACCAATGCCAGCTGGCCTGGATCTGGAAAAGCCTGGGATAAACCCAGACTCGCTGAACATAGTGAACACTGAGGACTACTGAGAACTCAAGAAAAATGGCAATGGGTTTTGATCCTACTGCATGTACTGGCTTTGTGGGAGCCTAGGCAGTTTGGATGCTCACCTTACTAGACCTGAATGGAGGTGGGTGGTCCTTGGACTTCCCACAGGGCAGGGAACCCTGATAGCTCTATGGGCTGACAAGGGAGGGGAACTTGATTGGGGGAGAGGGAGGGAAATGGGAGGCGGTGGCGGGGAATCGACAGAAATCTTTAATAAATAAATAAACAGAAAAAATAAATAAAAAAGAAAAGAATATAGAAATTCTCACCTTAAGGGTATATATCCAGAAGGAAACATTAAGTCAATATATTTCCCCATTTTTTGTATTATTCCTAAAAATTAATATTATGATGAACAACCTCTGTCCATTGAACACTTATAGACACATGGATTACAAATGGACATACATAAAAACAAAAAAATATTGTAATAATCCTTTTATCATAACTCTATGAAAAGATTTATCATATTATTTGGTGGTTTCATTTTATTTAGAGAAGAAACAGCACAGCAGACAACATCTGAGCTTTTGATTCAGGATCCCTGATTAATCAGCTATGTGATGACTACTATTAGAAAAGGTACTGTGCCCCAAAACTTGTGTTCTCTTTGTCTTAAACATATTAAAATGTCTACTACAAAAAAGTTATAGGAATAAAACAAAGATTGCAATCATGCATTCAGTAAGGATGAGCAGGGCAGGGTGAGGTGGCCATAGACACAATCATGTTCACAATAGATAAGTCCCCCATTTGTGGATGTTCAATTAATGCTAATAATATCAATATATTTCTTCCTTTTGCTCATAATAGTGACTAACTCACGAGATTACTTAAAAACATTAATGAATATGGATAAGCATAGGGCATCACACTACCATGCCCAAGTATGTTTCAAAATGTACTACCCATCTCCCATTAACTAACACATTACATTATTCACATCATTTCAACAACAATATATCACAACATTTCAAATGTGAAGTTGGTGCATTTGCTTTCAAAGAATATCATATATACGTTTAGTACTCAAGAATTTTAATTCATTGGTTTATTTCTCAAACAGCAACCCATATACAGCTCAATTTAAGTCTGGCTTCTCATTAGTGCATCCCAAAGCTTAGACTCTGAAAGCCTAGAAAATGAGGGGGAAATACATATTTGGCAAAAACGGACAATTCTTCATTTATGTTCTTTAAAACTACACAAAATACACATGATTATATAATATTAAAGATTGGATAGTGTTATGAATTGATAAAGAAAATAAACTGTAATTTTTATTTGAATTTTTCTAACTCTAACCCTAAGCCTGTCTTAAGCATACTTCCTCTGGTTCTCAGGGTGTCCTTACTCTTTCTTTAAAGTTCCTTTTCCTTCCATGTCCCTCTTTCCATGTCAAATTATCTCTCTCTCTCTCTCTCTCTCTCTCTCTCTCTCGCTCTCAGACTCTTTCTTTTGCCCCTCTCCATCGTTTCTCCCCTAAAGTGCTGTTGAGATTTAAAAATTGTCCTCCCTGGAGTAATTTTCTTCTAAACATTAAAAAATTATTTTCAGGCTACAAAAAGCAGGAATAAAAAGGTAAATAAGATTGAAAAAAAATCTAGACCTAGATC